AAAAAAAAAAAAAAAAAAAAAAAAAAAAAAAAAAAAAAAAAAAATCCTCCCAGAAGAGTCCAGAAAAAGACTTAGAAAGGGAGCACCACGGTGATAACTTTAAATGAGCTGAATCAAATCTGTCAAGCCAAGAAAGATGTGAACTTTGAGAAAACCTCTGATTCCCTTCCCACTACAGTTCTGAAAGAATAGCCTTAACCGCATTCCCTCAGAAGCTTGGTTTTTTGACTCATCAGAGGACCAATAAGAAGTTGATGAATATTTTTTCTTCATACTATTAGAGAAAACCCGCCGGATATTGAAAGTCCCAATAAGCTTGAACCAGCATGAGCTCGAGAAAGAACAAACAAAGAGAATGTGATTGAGCGTTTCTCCTCTGAAAAACATAGAAAGAAAACTGAAGGCAGCAAGCTATGAAGAGGAAACTTTCTTTGGAAAACATCCAAAGAATTACGACTCCCATTGATCAAAATCCACATAAAGATACTGGTTTTCTTTTGACTTTTAGATTTCCATATAGCTGCCAGTAAAATTTTGTCCATAGATGATGCTGAAGCCAAATAATATTCAAAGATTAAACTGAAAAGGTGCCAGAAGGTTCAAGGGACCACCTTCGGGAATCTTCATTAAAACTCGGTGAACCCGAAGAAAGTCTCAACAAATATGCTCCTCCTCAATATCACTATTATCCCTTGGAACCTCTACACTAATTCTTCAAGAAGTCAATCTTATTCTTGTTCCTCCTTCCTCGAGCGTAATTGTGTAAGAAAGATGTGTTATTGTCTACATCCTTCGCCCATTGCACCTTACCCTTTTGTCTTAAGCTAGTATCCTCCCTTCGAATAATAATCTCGAAATCCCCCTTCAACTAAGCTTGTTCCTCTATTGTCCTTAGTCAAAACCCTCCCTCCTCCAACCCATCAAGAACCTGATTTTTTTCCACAATCTCTGATTTTCTTCTCCTAAAATCCTCAGAACTGCAATTCCACTCTTGAAGGCCATTCTTAAGACTTCTCAATTTTCCAAGGAAGCGAAAATCTTCCCATCTTCTATCAACCCTCACATCCCACCACGAGGACAAGGAAGCCTTAAAAGAGGGTTGGGACAACCACATTATGTCAAAACCTAAATGGACTCATACCCGATGCATTACTACAGAGTTAAGACCAACAGGCCAATGATTGGAAGTAAACCTTGGCCCTAGCCCATCTAGGATTCGGGAAAATCTCCACCCAAGCGTTGGAAAACTGAAACCTGTCAACCTACAATTAACCTCTCCTTCACTCATCCAAATCTTGTAAGTTTTCCATTTGCCAACAGGGTCTATAAGATCGCAATCTTAATGAGCCTGTTAAAATGTGTCATAGATCTCATTACTCTCCTCCTGTTAGATTTTCATAAGGATATCTAGTCACATTAAAGTCCCCTGGTAGACTCACTCTAGAACCCCTTGCAAGCCCCAAAAGACCACCCAAATTCTCCCAAAGTGCCTTCTCACTGCCGTGACCCAACCCACCCCCAAGTTAGGAAACTCAAAAGCCACTAGAATAGTTAAAACACCTCTCACCACCTGAGAATCCTTAATAGCTTAACCATCCTATAACACCAAAATGCCCTCATCGGACTCTAGCCCCTCGCTTCCCATGTCTGTCGTCCCAATGACTCTAACAAACTGGCAGAAGTACTTCTCACGTTCAGTTTCCACCAAAATAGCAATATCAAAACGCTTCCATAACAACTCTTTTACCAACTTCCTTTTCTCCCTGCCCCTTGGCATTCCAAAACAAATCTTCCATTGAGAACCCTATACATCCCAGACATCCAACAATTCCTTCTTCCTGTCCTAATTTAACCCCACACTTGAGGTTCCTTAACTCTCCAACTTTTTCTTTCCTTTTGCTTTAGCCAGCCCTCTCCCTCACCATAATGGACTTAATAATTGCGACAAGCTTTTAGTTACCTTTCATGCTCTTTCATAATTCTGTATGTCTTTTATTTTAGGCTTCCTTCATATAATACCCTTAATTGGAAAGTACAATTATAAAAATTAACAATTAAATGCAGGAACTTGTTTGAATATCAATAATCTAATACTTTGATCTGACTTAAAGATTCAATCATGTGACGACTATATTGCTGATTAACATTAGATTGATTTCTTGTTGCCCATTCCAGCAAATCAGACAAATGATTGCAGATGTAGACAAGGATGGAAGTGGTGCCATTGATTATGATGAATTTGAATACATGATGACAGCAAAAATTGGAGAGAGAGACACTAAGGAGGAACTTATGAAAGCATTTCACATTATTGACCATGATAACAATGTGAGGTCTTGATCTTTTAGATGATAGGGATCCAGATGGCTATGCTTTCTAAAAGAAGTGAACTATAAATTTACTTATTATTTATTTTTAATGTAGGCGTTGTTACTGAGAAAAAGTATATGCAGTTTCACATTTAAAATTTGCTAAGAGAATTTTGAAGAATCTAATTTGCTACCACATTTTATGCTTCCTGTCTTTAGTTATTCAAACATTTTGTAACTATAACCGAATTGCCCTTACATTTTCATATTATTTTCCCTGAATTTAGGGGAAGATATCTGGAGATGACATCAAGCGTATAGCAAAGGAGCTGGGTGAGGCCTTCACCGACAAAGATATTCAAGATATGATTGAAGAGGCAGACCGAGATCGTAAGTCACCTTTATTTTTAAACACATTTTCTTTTGAGGTTTACTTTCAAGATTTTATCGTTTTCATGTGCCCAAAACAATTTTGTTTTTTGGTGTTATGTATCAACTTTTGATATTATTTTGTCTTCAATTACCAATAGCTAAAAATACCATTTTAGTCCTTAAATTTTGGGTTTCATTCAATTTTTGTCTTTGTAATTTCAAATGTTCAATTTTAGTCTATGTACTCTCAATAATGCTTAAAATTAGTTCCTTCTGTTAGTTTATTGTTAATTTTTCTAAAAACAATTTAGTCTTTATTGACCTTCCTCATATAATTTTTTAAATATGTTCACATTGTGTCTTTTTTTATTCACATATCTCTAGGCTTCTCGTAGTGTATCTACTTATTATGGTTACTATGTTCTCATTTTTTAGGTTTTTAGATATGGACTTGGTTATGTATGCTCATCTAATAGGTATCTGATAATCATATTTATGTTGAAGTAGAGACAGGTGGCAATGCCACTACACTAACACGGTCAATTCTAGAGAGTTGTTTTCGCCTAAAAGCACTTACTAGCCGATATAAACCCGTACGATTTCCATCCGAACTAACTTTCACTTGACTTCCACTTTTACTCTTTCTATTTTAAACATTGACGATAGGTGGTTTCCTTTTATTCATTCTAGGTTAAACATTCATTATAGGAGTTTGAACATTACCATCAGGGCCAAACGAGACCTTGTACCCAAGGTCAAACCGAGGGAATTGATGCTGAATTCTACTCATAGGTTCCCAAGAAGCATCTTCATCTGTGTAGGGCTAAAATTGAACTGGAATTTTCCATGTACTCGTGTCTCCAGTAGGACGAATGCCTAAAAATTTTCCTGGTTCAAGGATCCAATTACAATCTTCACATGCCATTTCTGAAAGTATCCTCCATGACCTCATCAAGGTTGTTTAACGAGGCCGACAACCTTTCAAGCTCCTCCCAATACTCATCCACCGTGCACATTTGCTTCTCTGTCAAGAACCATTCGCACAACCATCCCTTTTGGATGATAAAAAATGCTTGAACAACCGTGAATTAAAATTTTACCACTGTCAATGGTCAATGTTTTTGTACTCACTAGTACCAATCCAAGGCTATGCCCTCAAAACCTATCACAAAAGCGGCAAGTTTCTCAGGTTCGATCAACTTATGAATTTCAAAATACCTTTTGGCTCGAATTAGCCATCCGTCGGGATCATCTTTGGAGAAAATCAATCTCTACCTTAAATTTATGTTGATCTGGCTTCTCCTTTGGGATTTTTGAAACTTCTCCTGTTCCATGAATACCCTCAGAAATCGTTCTTTCACTGTCACCTGATCAAGCCTTTTTCTGCAATGAATATTCTACCATAGACTCGATAACAACACTCTACCCTCCGACTTGTGCTGACATTAGAGCAGTCATGGTTTGTTGATTTCCTACTGAAAACTCTCTCAATATATAGCAACACGTGTTCTATCGAATCTCCAATCTTGTGATCTCTTAATAGCTCCTTTTTGAACTCATTCAACCTTCTCTTCCAGTTGTTTTTGCATCAATGTCTTACCCTTTCTTAGAGTGAAGAAGCTATGATACCAATTTGATAGGCAGAGAGGAATATTATTTATGTGAAAGTAGAGATATATGTGACAATGTCCCCATACGAACTCTTGGGAAATTCAAAAGGGCTTGTCTCTCCCAAAAGCGCTCCACTATTCCCAAGATAACAGACTCTACCTACTAGATTAGCTATACAAACCAGCACAATTCCCATGCTCACTAACTTTCACTTAATTTCCCCTTTACCCTTTCTATTATACACATTAATCATAGACGGTTCCTCTTATTCCTTGTATTGTAAAAATTCATTATAGGAGGTCTATTGTCATCATGGAAGGAAAGCAGTTAAGTTGGATTTGTTAATATGCAGGTGATGGTGAAGTGAATGCTGATGAGTTCGTTAGAATGATGAGGAGAACGACATATGGATTCTAGAGATCAAATTCTTAGCAGAATGTGTATCCATCCCTGCGAGGCTGACTATGGTAAGTACAGTTGTGAGAATAAGAGACATGCCAACTATATTATTGTTCGTATGTTTCTAAATGTAAGATTTTAAACTTCAGAGTTATTGAATATATTTTGTTATTTTTAGTTTGAATTTTGTGTAATGCTAATGACTGGCACAGTACAATAAAGGGGAAGCTGAGAAATATATACGAAAACCCTTTCGAGGTTCGAGGAAAGTTCCGATGGGATAAATATCATTTTGACGAAATTAGTTGAGAGATGGAAATACAAAAAATGGTAGCAAACAAAAATAAAGCTTCAATCAAACAAAAAATTAACTTCTTAATCTATCTGCAAAATATCTACTAAATGCTTCATTGAGTGAGGTTGTTGCTTAACTCAAGTTGAAGTGTTTGCAAAAGTGGTTAGGGGCGAACTAACTACCAAGGCTCTCGAAGGGAAAGGAATGTAATGAAAATTTTATTTAGGGTACATTTGCTGCCACATTCTCAAACACGAGATCGAATGTGTATATTGTTGTTGTATGAAATTTTGGCTGATCTTCTATATTACATAGATTTAATTCGCGTTGTTATAATAATTAATATTAGATATGTAATATTTAGTTATTTATATTTTAGTTCAACAGCATTTGGAAGCAGAGGATTCAAACCCATGAACTCTTAGCGGAGGTTGTATGTCAATTATCCTTGATTTATACACACACTTTAGCTATGAAGATCTTCATGACATTATATTACATTTCATGTATGCATTTATGCATTTTGAATACTTTTTGTTTGGGGCCATTTACTATATACTTTTAATACTCCACTCACCGAAGATGAGAAAATACAAACATCATTGGCAAGGGATTGCTTGGTAGATTATGCATCGAGTTATATTTTGGTCCAATCACGTTGAAAAATATTATTCCAATGAGTTTGATAGGCAAGAACACGTAATAGTTTGTAAGCTATATATCACTATAGTTATTCACCTAGTTAAATAACCTCCGATTATACGTTATTTTAAACATTTTTATCCAAAATATCGTATAGAGTGATATCATTTTAAGACTACATGCATCAAACATGTTAAGCAAACAAGAAAAGTGGTAAATTAGTGGGAATTCTTTTGTGTTCATATCAATATGTAAGCCCCTTGGCTGTAAAATATACATCAAAGCCCCCCTGTTTCTCTAAATCTTGACACAGTTTTGGAAAGCTTAATTATACAATACAATACAATGCAATACAAGCCATGCATTTAAAAAGGCTATTTTTCAGACTAGACGTTTTCAGAAGCCATTTCCACGGTAGCAAAGATTCTTGTTGGTTAAATAAAAAGAAGCACAAAGCATTATTTAAGAATCCAAAAAAAGAAAAAGAAATAAAAAAATGTAAACAAATATGATGGGTTATATTACCATGGAGCAGAAACTTCTTCCAGGAACTTGGACTTGTACACCTCAGCTTTTGACTCTAAGCCATCAATGGCAGCTCCAAATTTATCACAAGCTTCCTTCAACTCAACAAGCTTCGTCTCAATGTTTCTGATTTCATCATGCACATGCACTTGGTCATTTTTAGCATCTACCAGCGTTCTTACATCCAACGCATTCTCCGACTCATAAGCAAGATTCGCCAGCCTATGGAGACGATTACGTAAGAACCCAACATTCATACCGAAGAGCTGAAAGGCTCGGAGGGTTTTGTCCCATGTAGAAAACTCCTCCCGTGAAGTAGAGAGGTCGCAAGCTTTAATGGCGTTGGCGATGGTTATTGTTTCGGAAATAACTCCGGTGACTAAGTTGCGGTTCATGCCTGGGATGAGATTTTCATGGAGAAACATGTCCTGACTGCAGCAAAGTTTATAATACCTCTTCCGCAGGTCTCTTGGCAGTTCTGCATTTATCGATATCCCATCGATTACAATGTTGAAGTCCTCGAAGCTTTTGACTTTCTTAAATGGAACCGCAGGCTGATAGAAGCTGAAAACCTCCACTATTTCTGAGACAACCTCTTCACTGGTATGTTCAGAATGCTCTGCTGCTACCTGCTGCCTTGGTCTTGACCTCAACGGGCTTGGATTTCTCAGCCTTTCAGTCGTGTCGGGTACAGCAGACTTTGCTCGTTTCTTGATCGAAATGTCGCCAGCCGCGTCTCCCTTATTTTCAGTATCTTTTCCTGTAGTCGACAAATGTTCAAGAGAATTGGGAATTGAACATATACAAATTTGAAAATGGTATAACAGAGTATCAGCTAATGGGCTTACCTGCATCACTTTGTTTAGTATGAGACTCCAAGTTTAGTAGGCCAAGGGTACCATCCATTTCTGTCACATCACATGTCCTTATAACATAAACCTACGGTAGAAGTAAATTATTGGGAGGCAACAAATAAGACATTGGTCATTAATACCCAAAAAAAAGCACGCTAAAACACTTCGAAATGTCCACTTGCTGTGGAAAAAGTTTACTCAATTCAGTTCAAGTCTAATTGTGTTTGATTCTGGGCTCATAAGCCATAACAAATGTAGTTCAGAATCGAATTTTAAACAGTGAGAAAAGAAAAATAAGTGAAATCTAATCAGAAAAGGAATTTTCAACTGCAACCGTCTTAGGACTTTTGTAGAACTATAATATTAATTGTTAAAGAAATCTTAAGGCAGAACTTGATAATCATTCGATATTTAATTTTTCTTATCACTTCTCTTCTTTTAAGAGAAAATTTGAATTTTTAGCCAAGTCCCAAAAGAAAAACAAGTTTTTGAAAATAATTTTTTAGTTTCCAAAACTAGATAGTAGTATATTAGACTTACCTGGCTCTTCTGTTAGCCTTTCAATAAAAAACCAAGGCCTAAAACTTGAAGATTTAAAAAGTTGATTAAGACCCAGAATGTTTTTGCCAGGGTATGATGAAGATGATTGATTCTAGATGAATGTTACTAACAAATATCCCAAAAATTAACTCAAATTTGATATGGATCTCCGGGAAGAAGTCTGCTACTCGAACCTAGCACTGTAGTTTTCTCATCTCAATATTCATATTAAACGCATGATAAAACGTTGATATCTCTGGTCCAACAAAATAAAGGAGTTCACACATGAAGTGACATTCAAATGATTAACTTCTCAAAAAGGAGTTACCATCCGTTCATTCCCAAATCTGGTTAAACCAAAAAAAATTATCGTCTACAATATGGACTGAATTTTGAGGTCCAAATTAGTCATCCTGTCTATCTATCTGATTAATATAGTTGATGTGTTTTATTCTGTTTTTTAACACACAGTTCAACAAGTTGATGAACATCATACGCTATATAATGAAAAAATCCAAGATATTACCTTAAATTTTGTGGGCGCTACCAGTTGAAAGACAAGAACATCACCCTCAAGTAACTTGTGTGCAGCAGAAAATTGTCTCCATCCAGCACTCAACCCCGTCTTATGTGCGATATATTTTACTTGAAATTGTCTCCCAGCTTCATTTTCCAGGATCATTGTACTATCTCTTACTGGCAAGTATGACTTGCAGAATACCGCAGGAAGTCCCTGTTATTTAACAATAAACGCACAAAATTACTTTACTAACTATAGAATTTAACTTAAAACCGTGTATTTTTTACTAAGCCTACCATCCAAAAACAGCTAGCAACATGTGATCTGACCAATGACTTCACGAAGCTAGGAAATTCCTGTTCCAATTTTGATCGAACCTCAAGTGCTCGCATCACAGCGGACGACTTAAATTCCCCAGGTGAGCATTGCTCCTCATATGCTGCCTTATTTTGCTCAAAGCTTGAAAAACAAGAACATTAAATGATAGTTGTGTTATGTGGATGCATGGACAATTATGCGTGCATTACACCAAATTGAACTGTCACAAAACATAGGCCATTATCCACCTACCTCATAAACTTCCCTCCAGGACCCGTTACAGCCTGCTCAAGCATCCACAAGAATTTTGTATCAGTGGGATCCTCAAAGTCCAACACTAATTATAATGATCACAAGTTGCAACAGAACAGAGGAGAGAGTATCAAACAGGTTCACAATGCAATTCAGTGATATGCTCCAGTCATTATTTTGATCTTTCTTATATCATCCATGATACAGAACATTCCATTGTACAAACCAGTAATAATTAATATGGGGAAAACAGAACACCATGAGAAAAAAAAAATTCTAGCTCCATTAACCGACATAAAACTACATCATAAACATTCGGAAGAAATGAATCTCCCCTCTTCATGTCCTGAAGTGTTCAGCGATCATCATCATTCTATTTTTACTCGACAACTCTATTCACGTCTTAGAATTCCAATTTGATTCCAAGATTAGATAAAATCAGATTTCTTCAGATAAGACATCTCCAGAGAGGTAATGCATACAAGAATGTTTCAGATAATTTATCTCCCTCCTAATACATATAAAGGAAATGAAACACGAAAAACAAACGGAGTCTCACATGGCTAGTTTTCCAATCCGCAAGTCTCTGTTTAACCTTCTGAAGCATCGGATTGTCCTCCATTTGCTTCCGCGTTTTACCCTAGGACCAATGCGTATCACCTATTGTTAATCTTGATGAAAAAGAGGATCATAGCCAGAAATTAAATCTCAGAACGATCAAAATGATTCCGTTCAGTTCATATCGAGAAAGGAATACAGACCGAGGAGGAAGCAAGCCTGTCCCGGGGGTTCCTGGACAACTGAGCAAGCGTCATGTCCCCGTCGTCGTCCTCCACCTCGAGCACCGCGGCCACAGAAGATCTCAAGGATACGGCGTTTTTACCAGTGCCCTCATACTCCATTTGGCTTGGAGAAGATCAACCATCCATGGCCGTTAAGCATCGCGATTGTGCAACAAACAATGCGTGAGAGGGGAACCCAAATGGAGAAAATCAATCAGAAGAAGTAGGTCCACCTCTGAAATAGAAAACGAAATTTCGTTGTTGTTCTTATGTTGGACGCGGTGGGATTGACGGACGGTGCTGGTTTGTTAGAGAGTTAGTTATTGGCGTTGGATATGTCCTCCGTACCCGTCTGCAAGGGGACGAAATCCCTAAGCAACTATATAATTATATACCTCATTTCCATGCTTCCAATTTTAATTTTAATATCCGTTTTGTTGTGTAAAGCAAAATCAAATGAATTATTGAAATGTAGTGATGGGTGGATGATGAATGTCCACGTCCCCCAATTTAGGCTAAATATCATACCAT